GTTTTCGCGTATCTTCGTTCGCCTACGATCGCAGGGTGTTCGCAAAACGCGAGCTACAGCACCATCGACCAGCGAAAGCTTCCCTTCAGACCCCGCTCTTCATCTCTCGCGACCACCCTTTGTCACCCTCGAGCAACGGCTCGTTTCACCCTCTCCACCCCCGCCGTCCATCCCTCCCGCCCGCCTTCTTTCCGTACTACTTCTCGTCCCATCGTTACTAGCCCACCCCTCCTGCTTCAACCTTCCCCTTCTCGCTATTGTTTCTTTTTCTACTCTTAGCAATACATCCTGCAACACCCGCCATTGTTTTGCACGACAGCCGACGTTTCGAGGGACGAACCAGAGGCAGAGAGCCGTTTTTTAACCTTTTTGATATCGCGCGTTTCCAGCGAGTTTCCTTTTCCCCGTGAAAATTCCAAATGCACCAAGAAGTGGACCAAGTGTCAGATCGATGCACGGATTTAACACGGATTCGACACGGATGGCCGAGGAACGGTGACTTAAATGTCGATGGCAAATGACGGGAAAAACGAACAGAAGATGGAGAGGCGATTTTAACGACTGACTGCTTTTCACGTGAATTACAGGGAACAACTTTGTGAAACACCGTGCAGATTTGCATCCAGCTGCGTGCTGAACTCCGATTATCGCACACGTTTAGTAATTTACGCGGCACTACGGTGCACACGCGTGGACCACCGATAATTGCCACGCGCTGTCGACAGAAAATAATCATTCGCTGCACAATTAACCTCTTGCCTTATGATTTCTTTAGAAGCTACTCGACCGTGCTGTGTGCTCGTACAGCATTCGTTTGGTAATTCTGAAATATTACGCGAAATTTATATTTCTCATTTTAATGGCAGTCAGGCGACAGTTAGAATAATGCTGTCGCAATTATCGACACTTCGATATCGACCAGTTCGATGAGATTTATCGGTTTCATCTAATCATTCTACGTACTTTAGAAAATCAATATATCTTCGCACACGTCAAGTTCCGAGATCTTATACTTCGTGCATCTTGCGAAAGGTGCAATACGAAGAGGCGAGAACGTGTACACTCTCTTCTCGCTACGTTACCGATGCATTAGTCTAATTGAAATCCGGATGGCGTGGCGCGCGTGACCGTACACCGTCTCGAGCTGTCACGCTTCCAAATAGGTATAGGCGTGTCATAGATGTACGCCAGGGTTGCTCACTTACTGCATACCGGGTGATGTGACGACGTCGACGCCGTTGCTCGTCACGCGACCGTTAATGAAATCGGAACAGTATCGGTTCGACCGCCGTAATGGACAATCAACCGAGTATTCCATTTGCTTTCATTAACGAATGAATCTGTCGAGAAAAGTCGAATCCGCCGCGTGACTTTCGATCTGCATTTGCACTTTTGAGGTTAAGTGAAATTACGAATCTGGTTTGAATTTAAATCGAAGCTGGAACTTAAGAAATCTAAACGAGAAGAATATACTTGGAAAAATAAAAAGTTTTGTCAAGAAAAATGTAAATAGAAGGATAAAAAGTTTTAATAGAAGAACAGTTTCCATAACGAAAGAGCGTTCCTCCGACATCTTATCGGCGCATGCGCGAAACTAAACGTAGATTGTATTAGCGCTCGCAGAGTAGCATCGGTAAGGAAGAAAGAGTTTGTAATCAAAGGGTTCCGCGTGCCAGAAAGCTGCAAGTTGCCATCGCGTGACAACATACTTGCAGATGAATGATAACCTTGAAAATTCTAGGTAGAAACGATCACCTGATCATTTGGAAAACCGACGTGACCGGTCGTGGAACGATACATGGAACACGTCTCCGGGAACGAACGTATATACTTTCTAAATGTATGCGCTCCGTGTACGCGCATGCGCCGGGAAAGTAAAATGAGATACTTTCTCTACGTGGTCGCAATTCTTAAAGGGGTGGCCCCATGTAAATAAAAGAAGGAAACGCGTGTCGTAACCGGCAACGAGGGAAACAGTTCAAAACCCTGCACGCGTGCGTGCATGCTTATTAACAGAAAATTAAAGCACAACGCACTTGGAACGGTGTTTCTTCGGCGGCACAAATGGACCGTGTCTAAAAATAGCCACGTGCTTCTATGGAAGAACCGTTACGACGTTCCGGTACATCTTCCGAGCGTATTAAAAATGTGGCCATTTTCATAATCGTGTTTAACGTACAGGGTCACTTGTTTTAAATTGCGAATAAATGCGAAAAGGTGAACGCGTAGTAAAGAGAAACAATAACGATTCGGAAACGATGTACATATTTTATTACTTTATTCCGAAATAAAGTAATCGAAATTTTAATCGAATTATTTTTTACAGATTTAATTTCTAGTAATTCAATGTCTCTTGTTATTTATTCTAACTCTTCCTTTGCCTTTTTCCAATTATTTCAACATCCATACAGATTAAATCGCAACGTACATAACCACAAAACACGTAAGCACATCACTATTTCCACAGGGTGAACCAGCAAACTGATTGTCACACGACGCCGTAAAATTCACTAGATCAAGTGTTTTGGAACGAACGCGTTAATCTTCTCGGTATGCATACGTTCGACGTATTTCAGTGGTAAACCGTTTCACCTGATAACATTCGACGACGGTTGAGGCAGGCGGGCACGAAATCTCGGACGCGAGGCGGAGTGTTTACGCGCGCGAATGAGAGCGAGTACGATTCGTTCTCTCCCTCTCTATCTTGCTCTCCGTTTGGTCTTTTTCTCGGCCTTGATCGCCTCGCCGCGGTGCAAGGACCGTGGAGAAAAAGGAAAGGAATATATATACCACAGAGAAGCGGCGAGGATGAAGTGAAATCTGACTTCCCTTCTGTTCCGAGTAAATACACGCGCGTATACGCGCGCGCAGGCTCCTGATGCGCGAAAGTGTGCGCGCGGCCAAAGGACGACGCGAGAGACACGGCTACACGAATGGTCTGTTTCGATCGGAAACCCCAACCTGCTTGTGATTGGTTCTACAGCAACGAATTAATCCCTGCGTCTATGTATACTCGAAGATTAGTAGAATCTGTACTACACTTTTGCAAAACATGTAACCACGGGAATCGTGCGGACAACGGTTTACGTTTAGTTCAAAAACAAACCGTTGGAGGATGTTGCGTCTTCTTCGAGTCTACAAGTTAGGTTATGAACGTAATCGTATGTATATGTGTGAATTATAGCTATGTATAATCAATCACATGCAACATCTTGGAACATTTTCAGCTAGGAGAAAATAAGAATTCTGCCAACGGAATGCCCAGTTATATACATATATGATGACATAACGGAACACGATGTTTTGCGAACGCGTATAACGACAATAATACACTTCAACGCGTACATATCTGTACGTTTGGTTCGAGGTAAACACAATCTCGCATGCTCGATAAAGTTTCGATATTATGAAACGGTGTTTGTTAATGATTTCCTTCTATCTCTTACAGTTAAGATAGAACTGTGAAGACAGGGATATTGTTTACACGAAGGCGAGATATCACATAGTAGCTCGGCCACGGTATCTGCTATCTTCTTCCTTATTATCAATGCAATGCGATTGTAAAGGCGAGGAGAAAAATATCTTCGGTGTCGTAAGGAATTCATAAGGAAGTCGTAAGTACTTCCACGTATCACAATGAGACGGTATAAAATTTATTAAACCATCGTCGATTTGATCTACCAGACGTCATTTTCTACAAAAATTGCGTAACTGCAGGGAACGTGTTTTTACGACAGCCGCGGTCGAATCGACGCTGCGGTAAAATAATTGACCTCGGCTTCACGCTTCGACTCACAACGCACAACCATGTAACAAATTATTATTACAAGGTGTAATGCACGCTCTCGAGCAACGGTAAGAAAGTAATTTACGTCGCGCGTGAGCATCGGCCACGTGCCAACTCAATTACAGTTGCCAGAAGAGGAAAAAACTTCGATCATCGTTTCGACGCTTCGATTCACCTCAAGACGGTTTTACGGTAAGTCTCCAAACGGAAGGTGTTCCGCAGCAATGGGGATACGTCTCAAACTTCCCGCCCTCTATTATAGCGCCTACTTTCTCCTATGTAGATATTTCCGCGTGGAAATCTGTCTGCTATGCCGGCCTAGCGAGGCGAAGAAACCGATATTAATATCGATCAACTGAAAATCATCGAGCCCCTTCGAGAGAAGTCTAACGTCACCGATTGCGAAATACAAGAGATCCGTAAGAATAAAACAGCACGAAGAAACGTGACGATGCATCAGGAAGATGAGAAATCATTAACCTTGCTCACTCGAGCCAACGTGGAATTTGTATGCGTCATAGAATATGCGGGCATTTTGAACGACGCTTAAAGAGACGCGAGAATTACAATGCATTGCCACACGTTCATCTTGCGGACACAGTGACAATGCATACCTCTTAGGCTACCGAAGATAATGGACCTACTGCGTCGGACCACACGGCTGGACGCGAAGTCAATGGTTAAATTTAAAGACACCTCGGAATAACAAATTACCAAATTCAAGCGTGTCGCAAACAAAAGCTTTCCTGTTACTTCCTCGTCCCGCTATTCGCAATTATACACAGTGTCTGATTTAACCAGTGGATACATCAAAAAAAGAAGGGAAGAGGAATGTTTCGATATTAAAATTACTAAATTCCTTAGAATTATACAATTTCACACCGATCAACCTATAAAAATAAGTTTTTAAAATTTATAAAAATTCCTTAAAACCGAAACGCGTCGACGCGATATTCTTCCACCGATAATTTGCGAATCGAAACTACGATACATCACCCGGTATGAAAACGAGTGATCGTACTAAACCCACGTGTTATCCGTCGATATACCTTAGATCGGTTAGTCATTCGAGGTCACAGTCCCGGCGAACAAACTATTTCGCGCGAACAACGATATTCTTCTACAAACGCATCTCCTGTCTGACCTCGAATGACCAAGAAACTCCGGGCACGCTATACCCAACGACATCGTCCGATACAAAAACTCGACTCACCTTCCGTGGGCTTCTTGGTGGTGCCCAAACCGGCGGTGGGTCGTCGCCATCCCCTCCAGTTATTGCACAACGAGGCCGGTTCGCTGCTCCAGCTGCACAAAGAATCCTCTTCGAAACGATCGGAGTCGTAGAAGGAGTAACGATCGGGTTCCTCCCAATCGATTATCTGCGGACCACTCGGTTGACCGGCGACGTTATCCACGGCCACGGATACGGCGGAAGCGGCAGCCGACTCTGTGCCCCGAGCACCGCCGCTGGATCCGCCGCCACCCCCGTTGCTGCCACCATTGCTGCCGCCCCCTCCGCCGCTCCCACTGCCTTCACCGCCACCGCCGCCGCTACCACCCACCACCACGGGAGACCGAGCCAGATTGCCCGCCAGTTTTAATTGTCGTACGAATCGGTACGCGCGACAATACGAGCCACTGCGCCCCCGAATGACCACCGTACTCCGTCGACGGCCCCACCGCGATCACGAAGCGACGACACCGCCGCCGTCTCTTACGAGCCGAGCCACTGTTCAAGGTGCAAACCCTTCAACCCTGTGCCCCACGCGGATCACCGCCTGCGGGAGAACATTTTTCGAGGTTATTCAACGCTGTCGACCTATGTTTCCTTCTTTGGAATGCCGCATCGTACGTGTCATTTCTCATCTACGAAGGTCCAAACCCTTTTTATATTAATATTTTTTCCTTCTTTTCCTTCATTTTCCAATATATTTTTGCGAAAGAGTATTCAGTATTTACTCGAAGGACCGCGTATCGTGTAATGGGGTACAGCGAGTAGGAAAGTGTACCTCCTCATGTGGAGGAAATAGAGAAGTAAAAGGGAAACTTGATGTAAAGAAAGAAAATTAAACCACACACAACCTGCATTAAACGCTGTGTTATTTAGATGTAGAGAGAATTATCGAGGCGTATAGATAGAGATTCGAACCTGGAATACGTGGAGGTTTGAGGGCGAATGCTCTGCAGACTTAGCCACCGAATAACTGCGCTTACCTTTGCTTAATGGCGAATAAATACGTCTGTCTATATAAGGAATGATATCCTTCACTTTGAATTTCCACGTTGTATAACACAATGCATATAAACGTCGCTGATATGTTTCTATAATTATGCGAGCACTAAATTTTAATTGCAATAAAATCAACAGTCGGTATTGCCATTAACAAAGGGCCTAGACCTCTCGCTTTCAACTTTTTATTACAGACATCAAAAGTTATCGCGATGTGTATCGATAACAATTTAAACGACATGTACGATGCCATATTACCAGTAAACAATCGCAAAACGTGAACAGTAAAATTACGTCAGCCATGCAATGGGAATAATAAATAAACGGCTTGTTTAAAAAATAAGAAAGAACGGATATCGTACACGCATTGTTTACATAGTATACCCAGAAAAAGATGGAGCAATAAAAAAGGAATGAGAAATGTGAAAAATATGCAGGGCCGGCTGATGTTTTAGGTAGGATGCTTCTAAGTTACGTGTTCGCTGGGCTTTTCATGACCGAGCACCTATGAAATTTGTTAATTGAACTCTGATTTGTCGGGCTCGGTAGGGTAATTGGTAAATCCGAGCGTACGCCCCTAACCACCGTTTTACCACCGCCAACACGGCGCCCGATACTTCCCCTCTATTAGCCCTCTCGGCTATCACCGACGGCTATAACAGCCGCTACTTTTAATTGTTCCTCGAATCGGTATACACGCAACGTTACAATACCATTGTACGCCGCATAGTAATTGTTAAGAGACCGTATTTTCTATCTAGGAAAAATTTCGACACTTGGCTGGATTTTATACGAATTTGTTGCATTGTAAAGTAAATAGGTAAAGTGATATTCAAAACGAAATTTAGTATTTTAATAACTAAATTGAAATGACCGTTATTTATGGCGATTATTATTTATATTTATCGTTGTCATTGCTGTTGTTATTATCCGGTTGGGAATAACGATGTATCGTTATGTAATTGTATAGATGAAGAAAACGATTCCCGATGTCGTTTAGAACGTCATTCAATATCCAAATGTTAATGAGATTAATCGGGTCAATAACACTTCGTCACATTTTCAAATGTTATTCGTCATTGTTGCCGTCGTGTTTTGTCCGTGATGCCGCAGGAAGGTCACCTTTCACTTTCCAATTCTGTTATTCAGTTCTGCTTATTTTCCGAAGATAAATTTAAACCGAAATATAGCACGTTGCCGGAAGTTAATCGCTTAATATTCGTCTTGAAATGAATATTTAAAACGAATAATTGAATATTTAGCGCGAAAGATTTTTTCCGTGCGAGATTATGTCGAGCGTACAGCACTGCTCGTACGAACGCAGAAGTATCACAGGGAAAAGAATTTTCTCTTGCACGCTTGTTTGCACGTGCATCGGAACGACGATATGATAATACGAACGTTAAACTACGTCGATGAATTTCTTCCATTAATTAAATCCTACCAATCGTTGTTCAAAATCAACAAGTACTAGTTTAATCTTCGAAAAAGTTAACGCACCGTAGATACACGACACTGCAATCTATGTTCAAAAACGTTACGATGCTTGGAACGCGAGGTAAAACAGGAACAGCTGATTCACATCGCTTCGATGTTTGAAGAAGCGTATTGATTTTTTGCATGTAAAAGTAACTTTTAATATCTTGAATAATTTTACGCCAACCGTGAATATGAAAAAGGAAAAGCATCGAAATGTCGATACACAAAGTTCGATGTAAAAGATAAAAAAATAATGTTCTATTTGTCAGCGAAGAGTATATAGTCTGTGGCGGACGTCAAACGAACAACGTAAGATTAAGGTTAGAAAGGATTAGGTTAGGATGAACTGCCGTATAAAAGAAAGGGCAAAGAAAATTCGAAAGAGGGACACGAGCGTATCAGTGACGCGACAGACGAAGGCATAAGGACCTTGGCGGGTCGACAGACCCACGTCAAGAACGTGCGACGACCCCGACCCCGCATAGGGGAGCAACCCCTCTCCTGTCTTACATCTACTGGCCCGTATGTCTCACTGTTCCACCTTTCACACCTTTTGTACACATGGATTCTAACCCTTTTCCTGCTTACCTCACCCTCTCTAACAAGTTTACCGTTCCGTCACTGGTGCACTTCACACCCCTCTTTCCTTCTTCTACTACTACTACTACTACTATTACTACTACTACTAGCACCACCGAACGAACAGTACGGACGCAGAACAGAATGGGGAATAGTACACAACATGTATATTATATGTATACGCACATACACACATAAAACGGCGCACTCGACAACAGAGTAGGACAGCTGAGCCACCACTGCCCCACCAGTTTTATGTAAGAGACATTTTGCACCGTGTCCACGGTACCTTCCGCGAAGGTTAAGCCCAACACGGGCACTCGAATAATCGTAATACTTTACGTTAGAATTGCACACTACACCACTGCACTAGTCCGAAACTTCAGCTAGGCTACCCCATCAACGACAACAACAAATATGGCGAGCAAACCTTCTCCTGTGCCTCGCTGCAACGACTGCCGACTGACCGCTAGGTGGCGATCGGAACGCCGCCCCAACGGCCCCTACCCGTGTCACCTTTTCGGTTTTACTCGGACCATTTCGGATTTCGCTCCGATACTTTCGCGGCATTTAATTCAAATATGAAATATCTTACTTCAAACATTTTTCTTTTAATATGAATTGAAAACTGAATTATGTTGCTTTTTTAGAAATACAATTGAATATAGTATTCATATATGACTTTATTATTCATTGCTAATTATAATCATAATATTATACTTAATTATTACAAAACATTGATACAAATGTTTTAATAAATTTTTATTGAAAATTGGATGAAAAAATGTAAAAGTTTCGTTATTAATATTATTATAGCATTGTATTTTGTATCAAATAAAAATTATACTATTTCTATTATATTTTAGTCTTTAGTTTCTTTATATTTTTTTATTCAATTTCCTTTTTAAACTGAATCTGAATTTGCGGAGTTTAATACCTTTGAAATATATTAATAACTTTTAAAACGAACTTTTAATTTTTTTAAACTTAAATAGTATTAAATATAAGTATATACATATATTTTATTAATATCATAATCACTGCCTTAAAAATATTATAAATGTAAATATATGGAGTTATATGGTGAATGACTTTGAATTATTTGTTATATGTTTTCTACTTACACGTTAAAATGTAATTTGTATATCTATTTTTAAAAACTGTATAATTAGAGAAATATTAAATATTTCTAATAATAATTTAAATATCGTTACTAAAAAAGTACTTCCACCTTCGTTGAATTTTGTAAATTTTGCACCATGTAAAACTGGGTTTGTATTATACAATAGGTCCTATTATGTATCATTAATCCCTAAATTCTGATTTGCTGATCAATTCTAGTAACATCTGTATCCAATCATAATACTTTATTAAACAACAAATTTCGCGCTGTTTTCTATATTTACGATTTTAGTTGATAAAATGTAACCTATTTTTTTTGCGAATATATTAATAGTTATTATTTCAATAAGTGCAGTTTACAACTATAAAGAATATTTTACGTTACTTATTTGTCATTATATTATATCTTTAAGTTTCACATTGTATGTTATTTTGACTATAGCGGGAAATATCACGTCTGACAGGTTTGAGAAGAAACATTTAGTATACAAAATGTCATCTAAAAAGGATAATAATGCAGATGAAGATACAAGTAACATAGTCAAAATTTTAATAGCAACCGATATCCATCTAGGTTTTGAATATAACAAAAAGAGAGGTTTGTTTCTTTAAATATATAATGGTATAGTAATGAACTTTATTGAATAACTTTTCTTACATATTTTTATATGTTTTTAACAAATATATTATTTTTATTACTAATATAAAATACTAAAGTAAAATATTACTTATAATATCATACTGATATTACTATTTATTAACATAAGGACAAGAATCAGATGATAGTTTTACAACATTTGAAGAAATACTTCAGTATGGTAAAGAATATGAGGTAGACTTCATACTTCTTGGTGGAGATTTATTTCATGATACCAAACCATCGCAAACTACAATATTAAAATGTATGGAATTATTAAGAAAGTATTGTTTAGGATCCAGGTAAACAAAGAAATTTTGTCATATTTCTTTTATATATTTAACTAAAATATATATTATGTATTAGGGAGATTAAAATTCAATTCTTAAGTGATCCAGAAGTTGTATTCAATCATTGTACTTATAAAACTGTAAACTATGAAGATCCAAATTTAAATGTCGATATGCCAGTATTTTCTATTCATGGAAATCATGATGACCCAAGTAAGGAACATAGCATTTATCTATCAAATATAGCACAATTATAACATTTTTTGATTTCATTTTTTATTATTAATAAAAATATAGGCTTTGGAACTGTTGGATCAATGGATTTATTATCAGTGTCTGGTTTAATAAATTATTTTGGAAAATGGACAGATCTTACTCAAATAACCATTCCTCCTTTAATTCTGAAAAAGGGTGAAACCCACATTGCACTTTATGGTTTAAGTTACATAAATGATCAAAGATTATCTCGATTGTTTAGAGATTTCAAAGTATAATTATGAAGAAATATGGATTTTTATGATATATAAAATTTTCATATCTTTTTAATAAATATAAATTTTTTATAGGTGGACATGTTACGTCCAACAGAAATATCAGATTGTTTCAATATATTTGTTTTACATCAGAATCGGTCACCATATAGTGAATATGGATATATCCCACAACATAAACTACCAAGTTTTCTTAATTTTATTATATGGGGCCATGAACATGAATGTCGTATTACTCCAGAATTTATTCCAGAAGCTGAGTATTTTATTTCACAACCAGGTATATTATATCTTATTTATATTGTTCAACCTACACTACAAAAATTATATATATATACCTAAAACTTGAAATTATAGGAAGTTCTATTGCCACCTCCTTATGTGAAAGTGAAGCAAAACCCAAATATATTGGTATTTTAAGTGTAAATAAGTCAAAATTTAAAATTACAAAGTTAAAATTACAGACTGTTAGGCCATTTGTTTTTAACAACCTAGTTATTCAAGATGAGGAAATACCAAAAAATTATACTGAACAACTTTCTGAATCTGTATATAATTTTGTTGATAATTATATACAAAATGTAATTATGCCTCAAGCTGCCACACTATTATCTGGCCACCCTAAACAACCTATTTTGCCTCTGATACGTTTAAGAATATTTTATAGCTGTGATGAAGAAATGTTTGATGAAATGAAGTAAAATTAAATTTTATTTATAGTTTCATATCAAATTGACATAAAAATAGTATAACTAACATAAAAGAATATAATACATTTCAGATTAGCACAAAAGTATTGTGATGAGATTGCTAATCCCATGGACATGATTATATTTCGTAAACAAAAAATTCTCAACAAACAGTCAAAGTCAAACAATCCAAACTTTAGTGATGATCTTCAAAATATGGCACAAATTCTTTGTTATGACGATGTAAAAAAAAATCTTATTATATTATTATTATTATTATTATTATATTTCATAATTCTTTAAATGTAAAATTAAAGATATTTTTAATTAGGATGACAGGAATTGGAACAAAACTGTACAAGGAGGAGTAAAAAAGTACTTCAGTTTAAAGGAAAATAAGGATAAATTAACAGTATTAACTGTTAATGGTCTAAATGAAGCATTAAATCGATTTGTAGACAGAGGTGACACAGATGCTTTTAAGGATATTGTAAATCATCAAATGAAGAAAACTATTGCACATTTGGAAACTTGTGATATTGATACTACTGAATCTATTTGCAATGCAATTAGAAATTTTAGAGATATAAGAATGGAAGATGAGCAAGAAGATATAATGATGGTATAGTTGAATTAAAAATAGCTATTATAATGAAATTGTGGTAAACAAATGTAATGTATAATACTATATATAAAATGATTATTTTTTTATAGCTACAAACATCGTCTAACAGTACAAAAAATAGAGGAGAGGAAAGTTTTCAGAGTGACATGGATGAAAATGAAGATGAAGAAAGAAATATGTCTAGACCTAAAAGAGGTAGAGGAACAGGTCAAGGTTCGCGAGGAACTGGCCGTGGAAGAGCTAAACTAAAAACAAAAATTTCTCCTGGCCCAAGTACACCAGCTCTAACTAAAGTTCTGCATGTAAAGAAGTCAAGAAAGAAACAAGTAAGTTGTGTAAAATTTTTAAATAAAAAATTTATATACTATATTTATATACCGTACTTTTTTGTGTGTATTGTTAATAATTGCACCATTATATGTTTTATTATTAGGATCAAAATTATATGGGATCATCGTATAAAACTAAACAAAGCGGAGCTAATGATATCATTCTGGAGGATTCTGATTAAAAGACTAATCATAAAAAATAATTCTTGAAAAATTGTAATTTTATATTAAAATAAATTAATTTTTTATACTCATTAGATGCTTGTAATAATTATTTATCTCTCATAAAAATAGTTTTATTTTCTCTTAATATCTTTTACAAATATTTGTTATTTTATATGTAATTTCGATTTTCGATACTATCGAAACTTGACTCGAGTCACACGCCGGAAGTTGTCTTTCTTTAGACCTTCTGTGTTTGTTACGTTAGATCACGGAGTTTCAATAGGTTCGTTTTACAGGTATTTTTATTAAAATTGCTTGTTCTTCTTCAAAAAATAACATATTTAGAAAATGAAATGGATCTATTTAAGTAAATTGTGCTTAAAGTATGTTTTTATTATTCGTTTAATACAAAGATGATGTTGGATAAATTTTACGTCATGAGGCTCTTGTGCACTAATTCTGAACCTTTGTAGAAACATAACCTATAAGAACTCAAATTGTTTGTATGAAATAATTTCAAAACATGTAACTATAATAAATATATATACTTATATATACTTATAAGAAAATGAAATATTTTATGTAGAAATGCCGCCGAAAAGAGGAAAGGTTCAAAAGGAAGAGGTTCAAGTATCTCTTGGACCGCAACTCCGTGAAGGTGAAGTTGTTTTTGGTGTTGCGCACATTTTTGCGAGCTTTAACGATACATTTGTCCACGTAACTGACCTTTCTGGAAGGTATATTGAATACTAATTTTAAATAGTTTATTATTTTATATTTTATATTAAAATAATAATCATTCTACTAAAGGGAAACTATTGCACGAGTTACTGGTGGTATGAAAGTGAAAGCGGATCGTGATGAAGCTTCTCCTTATGCTGCTATGCTTGCTGCTCAGGTAAACACACCTAAATTACGGTATTTACCTTAATTGACCACATTCAGGCAGCTCCTAAATCACATTCTTTAATTGTAGGAGCGTTCATGTATGTGGTAAATTAATTTTCTTTTTTAATATGGAAGTGCACCTGCATAAGTCACTTTTTTATCTGAAAGAATACATTTTACATAAAAAAAATATATAATCATGAAATAAATAATAAATTTTAATATTTTGAAATATTTAATAGGATGTAGCAGAAAAATGTAAATCCCTTGGAATTACAGCACTTCATATCAAATTGAGAGCAACAGGAGGTAATAAAACAAAAACCCCTGGTCCAGGAGCACAATCTGCTCTACGTGCACTTGCACGTTCTAGTATGAAAATTGGTCGCATTGAAGATGTCACTCCAATTCCATCTGACTCTACTCGTAGAAAGGGTGGTCGTCGCGGACGAAGGTTGTAATTTGTTTCTGTGTGTGTTTTATTAACTTCCAAAAATAAAAATTAAAAAAAAAAGCTGTATTATATTTTTATATTCATCTTATCTATACAAATGGTAATATACTTTGTCACCAAAATTATTTAACATTAATCAATACTACATGTAATACTCTTATATTAGTTTTTATATATCTTTTACATAAATTCATAATATTATTTTCATGTTCAAATTTTATATCAATTTTTTCTAATTTAACATAAAAATTGTGCATTTATTGATAACCATTCATTGTAAATTTAATATAAATTAGTATATAAATAATAAGAGATGCATATTAATTACTAAAGTTCTATAATATTTATAAATATTAATATTCATGTAATATATTAATAAGCATTAAACATTTCCAACAATATTGCCTACAGTAACATAAAGCTTAACTTTGAGTTTTAGTTTCTTAGGGGCTTCGTGTTCCAATGTAGCAATTGTATTCATATATCCATATTGCATAACAAAACCAACTATAACTGACTGACCCTCTTCTAAATCTTCGTTTGGAATTATATGTAACTTTATTATTGCTTTGTTACCTTTTCGCCAGATCACTAGCCTTCAATAAAAATATTAGATTTTTAGTATACAGTGAAATATAATTTTAAATAAAATATTGAAATATAAAATTTAAAAAATTTGTACTTCTTATCATCTTGGAAATTATAAGTATTGCCAGTATCATCATATTCAGCAGCATCATCTCTAGGTGGCAGAATAAGAGGACTATGCGGAAGAATTAAATCTGCATTTGCATTAATTTTAATAGGTTTAGATTCTTCTGCTATAGGCACTTGTCTTACAATAGAAGGTAATAAATTTGGAGATTCAGATCCCTGAAATTATTAAAATAGTAAAAAAAAAAAAAAAACAGCATAAAACAATAAGATTCTGAAAATAATAAGCATTCACCTGCTGTGTATTTTCTTGTTTAAGTTCTTCCTCTTTTTCATCCACAATAGGGGTCATTGGTGTGTCCAATAACAGCAACATTACTTGAGTTTGATGCTGAGTTGGATTGCAAAATTTTAAGTACAATTCACTTGATTTACCTGGACGAAGTTTAGGTTCATAAGAAACAATCCTCACTTCTGGTACATGATAACTGTAACATAGAAATGTATTAATATCGAAGACACAAAAATTTGTAAAATATAAACTTACAATGCTGCAAGTTGAATCTTAAACTTCGCAAAATGCGAACAAAAATCCGGTTTACAAAGATTATGTTCGCAAGCTCGACATCGTTGTGATCTTCTAACTAAAAATTGTCTACGTTGTGGACGCAATTCATTTACATTTTCTGCTTGTACCTCTGGATGCTGTAATCGCTGTTCCAACGTGGTAACTATATTTAAAATTTATTTTATTTTTTTCTTTTATTTTTAAAATAAAGAATTTTGTTTTAATAATTCTGATATAAGTAAATGTTTACTTTTAGTTATTTCTACTGGTTCTGTAAAAATATCTACAGGCAATTCTTCTACTTCTGCACTGGCAACTGCTGGGGGTACTTCATCAGTTGGTTGTTCAATAGTAGTGGTTGGGGGAAGTCCAATATGTTTACGAACCATAGTGGATGTTGTATTAGACATAATCTAAAGCAAAAATAAAAAAAATTAAGTATAATATTAAAAATTGAATATCTTCGATGATTAATAATTTTTAAACTGATTACAATTTTCATATAATGACGCTTTGACTGAAATTCCTTCTCACACTGATGTTTCTCTATGAAACCTAATACTCTATGGTATTCAATTAAAGCATTGATCCGACTTATATGAGGATTTTCTTGTTTAGGCCAGCAACCAGTAGCTAATTAAAACATAGGACAATATTATATTCTCATTACTCAAGAATGTTTAAATATATGATAATAATATAGCGTAATAAATACTTTAAATAAACATACCACCAGACTGATCTGGAATACCAGCATCTCTAGAAGTCCATCGACATAATGAACAAGCTAAATAATAAACTTTTTTCGGCGTTGTTTTAATGTCTTTAGAATCTTCTCCATCAGTTGGCAATACCCTCAGTGGTACATGCCCAGCTCTCGTGGATAATGTTTGGAAACAACATGGACATTTAAAACAATTTGAACATCTGTTAACATATTTATAAGATATTATAAATTGCAAATATATTTGCAATTATATTTAAATGTATTTAATATTATATTATATATTATATGATAATATAATTAATAAAATTGTATTTACAAATTTAAATATATTTAAAACTTACTTATTCTTTCTAATGCGAATTTCTGATAATGGCAAATTTTCCATACAGTTAGGACAATAATATGAATCAATCTATTAACAAAAATAAAAATATTCAATAATCTTTATAGTACATAATTAAGCGATAGTAAAATAACATTAACAATTAATATACCTCTTGACAGACACAATATCCGCAACGAATCTTCAAACAATACCTACAGAAATAAATCTTCGAAATTGGTTTTAAAGAACCACAATTACACACGTAACGTACATAATCTGGTTGATTTAAATATGACATGATTGAAGATAGTTTTTATATAGAAAAAGAAAATTGAAATTCTTGTTACAAAATGGTACTCAACCTAAACTTTGACTTTTCTTCGAGCCATCTTTCATTCACGCATAATATAGCATAGTAAACTACCAAGTCAAAATAAAAAATCCCTATATTATATAAATTTCAAACGATTCTTATTTTTTAATTTTTGAAATATTTTAAGACAATATTTCTTATTATCTTATACTTTATAAATATTTTATTTCTCAATTAATGCTTAAAAAGATTTAACGCATTACATGTAACAAGCTTTTACATATGTATCTGAATCAATGAACTACTTCTAAAACAAGTAGTAATATTAAAGTTATACAGTTGCTACTAACTGAAAATCACGTTAATCTGTACTCGTTTGCTAGAAAAAATAATACTCGAAGTGTTTGGCACGGGCATTTGTGTTTATTGCATTTTCATAATTTTAATAATTAATCTATATGTAAAAATTACCTATTTTTCGTCGTCTTTTACTATTATACGTCAAAGTTCACTTAATTATGTTTTCACAGAAGTTGGTAAATATTAAAATTTTAAGTGTAAAACCCAATTTTTTATTAAGAAGATACGTAAAAGAAAATGCAGTAACAAAAATTAAAAAGACAAATCTTGGATTTGACCCTTTACCAAAGAAGAAACCACAAAGAGAGTCTTATTTAAAATCTTTGATCCTAGGAAATGTTGATAAAGAAGTTTTTACTTATCCTGAAGAATTACCAGGTAGATATGAGAATTATGTTAAATGGTTGCAACCAATTGAATATTATATATTGAGTTGTATTAACAAAAATCTGGATAAAAATGAGGTATTACTCCAGCTTAGAGAACTTAATTTATTTCAAGCATACATAAATGAAGAAAATTTTGGTATAACTTTATCTGAAATAGAATCAATGAAATTAATAGAGACTGTTAGTAATTTACCTTGGTTGGGTACATATATGGTAAAAAATCATATATTGCCAATTCAAATTATTTCTAAATATGGATCAAAGAGTCAGAAACTTGAATATTATTCAAAAATTATGAATGGTGAATTAATCCCTTCAATATGTATATATGAAGATAGTTATGGAACAAATGTGAATAATTTTGAAACTTATGTTGTAAAAAATACAGAAGATTCATGGTTATTAAATGGTAAAAAACAATATGTTGTTAATGGATTAAATTCTAATCTATTTTTAGTGTATGCAAAACATAAATTGCCTAACATGAAACAGACCACGACAGATTCATTCTCTTTATTCCTAGTTGAAAAAGATTTTGGGAATGTTGCTTGTACAGATGTGTATGATACAATTGATGAACGTGAAACACCTATCTGTACAATCAGTTTTACAGATACAGTAGTTCCTAATAAAAATATGATAGGTTCACCTGGTTCTGCATTTAAGTCATTAATGGAATCTTTGAAACCTGGGACACAAAACGTAACAGGCCGAGCAATTAGTATTTTAAGAAATTTTATGATGCAGTTAGTACCAGACATTACACAAATGAGACACTATGATAGAGATTTTTATCAATTTGATATTGTTAAACAAATTATAGCTGAAATGACAATTACTTTATATACTATGGAAAGTATGGCATATCTTACAACTGGAATGATAGATCAATATGAAAATATAGATGCTGACCTAGAGAAAATTATTACTGAAACATATTGTGCAAATAGTTGTTTGAAATGTATTCAAAAAGGATTACAATTAGTGGGTGTACATGGTTATGTGAATAATAAATCTTATATACAAGCATTTCATGATGCCATAGCTTTAACAACATTGGATACAAATAATATAGATGCTAGTACATATGTAGGAGCAAGTATGTTACAATATATTGGAAAAACGGTACATGATCATGTATACAAGAAAAGAAATTATTTACTATTTCCTGCATATAATATATTTGATACATTATTTACAAAAGCCACTAGAAAATTAAATATTCAAAGTTATGTCCACCCATCGTTAAATGTAGCTGCTGTACATTTAGAAGAGATTATAGGAAAAGTTAAAGAAGGTATGTCATTATTACTTGAAAATAGTGGATCACAAATTACAGAACAATATGCAGATTTAAAACAGGTAGCTGTGTTGTTAACTGAATTATATGCACTATATGCAAATATATTGCGTGCATCAAGATCTTATAGTATTGGTGTTCGAAATGCAGATCTTGAAAAAGACTTTGTAACTAAAGTAACAACTCGATCATATTACAAGATATGTACAGTTATAAATAATATAGAAATTGCTCCAATGTTTAACAACTACACCTACTACTCAGATGTAATGGATACTGTATATGGAAAGAAGAAATATCCTATGGAGCACCCTTTGACTAGAACATTTTAAATATTTAATTATTATAGTTTTATAATTTAGTACTTCATTTTTTGTAATTATTAAACATAATTTAAGAAATTGTAAATAATAGAATAAGTAAACGTATTTCCGTTAACGATTATGTATTTACGTAAGTAGCAGTGTATAATATTTGTTCTTACACTACATTAAATTTAAAACCAAAATAATGTCTCTTTTCCATAACTACCTAAATACATTTTAGAGAGGTATTTTGAACAAATCTTATATTAGGAATTAGAATTTTATTTTTATACACCATCACTACGAATTTTAATGTATACGCAAAAAGGTGGACGGTATTTTCCTACAAAAAAATGCAGCTATAGTTCTAAAATTGGAAGTTCAAAATTCTATTAAATTTATTTTAATTGTAATATCACTATAATTTTTCTGCTTGAACAATAACATGTTCTTCCCTGTATAAATCCATTGGAGACCAACAACTTCTTACGCAAGTATATATTAAAATAGTTCCAAATTCAATTTGGAAACTTTTTTCAACTCGGAGTTGCAGTGTTAATTTGGAAATCAATGTAGGCAAAATCTGAACTTCAAATGTCATATCACCACCGCAATGTCGACATTTTCCGACGCATCCACTGATAGGATATAATAACAATGGTGCAGAATTATCTCGAGAATACCTAAAGTTTGAAATAATACAACAAATTTTATAGCAGCATAAAACATAATTAAAATTTATTTAAAAATATTTATGTTTTTACCGTAAAAGTTGACCAGGATTTTTCTGTATTTGAGAGATGAAATTATGAAACATTTCATCCCCATGTATTGGAATGCCTTTTTCATATTTCTCTGAGTCTGTTTCTATAGTTTTTCCTTCATCTATGTCTGCTCCAGATTTTGATGATAAATCTGGATTGCTGTATTGATATTCAAGGAGTAAATCACGAACATGTTGTGGCACATCTAGACTGCAATCTTCTTCTTCGACGGAAAGAAATATTTCAACAAATGATAATTTTGTATCTGTATTTGATTCTAGTTGTATAGGAAATGGAGTTACTTCTCGTAATAAACTAATTAAATCACATTGAGGCTGGATTGGAGTATCAATACAAACAACTTCGCTTTCTTCTCCATCAATTTCAGCAGATGCTTGAGGAGAATCTAATCTACCTACAGCACCTATTCCAACTGGAGATTCTATACTTGCTGGACTGAAATAAATTATATTTTACCAATACATTGCTAAATTTTTTCTTTAACAAGTTCTTTAACATTTTATTGATTTTACATACCTATTTGCATTAGGATCATCAACATGTAATGCAGAAAATTCTTCTCTTATATTTTTATCTGTATCTTTTTGCAATGAAAAATGAAGATCTGTTACATTATTTGGCAATACATTGTTTCCATTTTGTTCAGAATTGTCATTTATGTTATCACCCCAATCATCTGCATCTGACAACCATGATGTTGTAGATGGTATATTTATGCTGCTACTATCTAAAGCATTTGATTTACATTCATCTTCTGGTACTTGAACTCTCAAACAAGTCCAACTTTCATTTTGATTCCAACAGTTTGGATTTATACATGTGAAAATATAAAGTGTTCGATGATACTTAGAGTTATCTAATGGAACATATAGCTGGAGAGCTAGGAGTTGGTACAATCTGCATAATCTACATTGTGGTAATGATAGTATATTTTTTTCATAACAGTTCTATAAATAATAATAATATACTTAATTTAATTTATGTTAAATATAATGCACAATAGCTTAAGATTTGGTTACAGATAATTGAGAATAATTCATATTCGATTATTTATTAACTAAAACTGCACTATAAGTACATAACATTTATTCAAAAAAATAACTTAAGAAATTTAAGAATTTAAAAAATTTGATTACATCTTTTGATCGGTTAAAAACTTTAAAGTGTAATTTTTTTAAATAACGAATAACCTGATTTAGGAAAGGGCAAGACTTACTGGAAATCCACCGATCTTATTTGTCATAAAATTAATATTTGGTCGATGTTTATCAGTGACATAATCATCTTCATATCCCAAGTATACTTTCGTCCTGTTGTCACAAGCCATTAAGTTTGATTAAAATTATATTTCTTCATTGGAAGACTTCGTGATAGGATAGAGAATATTTTAATTCTCAATTTACGGTTGTATTCAACGAGGACAGCTGACATGAATCAGTATCAGTTCACGCGTGCGCTTTTAACAGTATTCTACGACTCTTATCGATTTTTGAATATTTCATGTATAAGTAAATATTACGTAAAAAATCACATTTTATTTATATATTTTATGTTTGAATACGGATAACAATAACAGTACAAACTATTATCATTAAAGAAAACGATGTAACCAAATATTTTTATAATTAGAACGTGATAGACAACAAACGAGTAATTTTAATTTGTAATTTGTAGCTTGAGTTTGCGCTCAATAACCATAGTAACCAGTAACAATTCTTTTATCTTAAAGCAACAAAGTCCCTAGAAATGTGGTTAACGTCAAACCAAATATACATTAAAATCTATTGTATGATGGAATATATATAATAGTTGTACATTTAACAAAAAAAATAAAAATATATTTTTTCAAATTGAATAGATTACATAACTTAATTAAAATTCAATTTTTAGATTATATAAAATTGTATTTGTATCTAATTAAATTTTTTTATATTATTAATGAAAATTTGGTATAAGTCTTCAACGCAAAAAATGTTACAGTGAAAATCACGCTTAAATCACCGACATTTCGAGATCGGTGTAGTCTGTGTTGTGTGACGTTTTTAGCCATAGCACGACTTTAATTCTAAAAACTACTAACAAACATACTGCATTTTATTTCACGAAATCAATCGTTTGCGAAAAGTATTTATTTAAAATTAGAATAATAAATCTAAATCGAACAACGAATATAGCAATAAGAACCATTGGTTGGGATGTCCGATTTTAGTTTGTGACGTCATGCGCAAAACAGTTCATTCCTCATTCCCTCCGTATATCTATCCAGCTGTCCGTGGTTTGGCAGTCCGGTGAACGAATTTCTCAGGGTGATTATTACGTAGGTTTTATGTTGGTGGCCTTTTCCACGAACGACGGTGGAAATTCAAGGTGTTATAATATCGATACACGATCGAGTGCCAATCGGAAATCTGTTAGGTAGAATTAATTTTGAACAACCTATAACGGTATTGTACGATAGGGTGGCCTTCGGACTGACAAACGGTAAAGACGTACGCAGCAGAAACAACTGGCGTTTTCGTATATGTGACGAGGTTTCTCGAAGTAACCGTCGTGCGGAATTGTGATTTCTTTTATTGAAAAACAATATTAACGTGAGTTGTGGACGGTATTGTAACGTTTGGGATTTACTTGTATCAACGGTTTGGGAGCGACAAGCCTATTTGTGAGGGATGTCTACCCCCGCAAGAAGGAGACTAATGAGAGACTTTAAGAGGTATCGTGATTCTCAAGATTCTTATGTCATTGTTTTGTATGTCATCTATCGCCATTGTAAATGATATTTATATTTATATTTCTCTTCCTGTAACATTTCTGCACAGTCAGAATCATTGAAAATTTCTTTCAAGACTCCTCAGGTTACACGACGTTCGAACGTCATTGTGGCCCGCCTTACGAAGTTATTATTAGGAGTTTATAGTCATTTATTACGTCTTGTTTGTACTCCCAATGAAATCTTTTGAAGATCAATCGATGAATAAGAAAACTGTGTTTATTTCTATATAAAGAATATTTGAGAAATTACGTTTGATTCGTAGCAACTATGGTTTTGTTTATATTGTGACATTTTGTATTGATTATCATAAATATTCATTTAAATCGTAATAATGTGTTTTGTAAATTTTAGTTGTTCATAAATCCATTATTTTGTAAATAAAAAATAATTCAAACTATAAATATTTTTTTAAATTAAATAGTCTTTATCTAATTCTTCTTTATTTATTTTATTATAAGTAGTTTTTAATGTAATAAAGAACATGAGTACATATGTAAATACTTTACATTTCTTTTTTAATTGTACATGCACAATATATATGTTAATAAAAAATGTTTTATATTAAAAGGCATTGGCATGACATTGAAATATTTAAAGGATCTAAATTTATATTCTTTGTTAGATTTATATTAAAGAATCTATATAATAAATATTTTATTAGTTTTATCAAAAAGAATAATTTTTGTGTAATATAGTTTAATTTTGATTTCTTGCATATCAAGTAATAATAATGAATTTGATTTGTGTATTTTAATATTTTATATATAATTTAATCTTTTTATGGATAGATTACAAGAAGATCCACCTACTGGAGTATCAGGAGCACCTACAGACAATAATATTATGATATGGAACGCAGTTATATTTGGGTAAGAATATACCTTTAAGAATAATGATTCAAATTTATAATCATTTATGGTAATATGCATTTTTGTGGCATACTTTATTATCTTTTTAGACCACATGACACTCCATTTGAAGATGGTACCTTTAAACTTACAATAGAATTTACAGAAGAATATCCAAACAAACCACCTACAGTGAGATTTATTAGTAAGATGTTTCACCCCAATGTGTATGCTGATGGAGGCATCTGTTTGGACATATTACAGAATCGTTGGAGCCCTACTTATGACGTATCTGCTATTCTAACATCCATACAGGTATTGAAAACACTTAATAATTCTTACAAGCTTGTAATTTATATAATTAATATAATTTAATAAGCCTCAGACATATATTAACATTAAATATATTATGAATATTATATCTACTCTCATTAATTAACACGTTGTCATAAAAGATACATATTGCATGTTAAGTAAATTAGTGATATAACAGTAAGTATAAGGCTGTGACAAAATAGCTATTTGTCTTGACAATTAATTGAGTAGTATTAATTTTAAATTGTTTTTGTACATATTATGTTTACTTCTATAATATGAGATTGAGTTTCTGTACAAAATTTGCAAATATGGTTTGTATGGCAGTTACTAAATATTCAAGATAGTTAAAATAATTAAATGCTTATTTCATGGTTTTTATTTTGAAAATGGAATGTGCTTAATTTTCTTTTGGTTTATGAAAAAGAATATATCAATGTTTTCTAAGTTTATGTACTTGTATCTACCTTCGTTTCTTTTAATTTTCATATAAAAACTTAAAAAAGATTTGTAAGTTTTTGTCTTAACAGCGGTTGCAATTCAGCAAAGTCTGATTCATTAAATTTAAAAATTATTTGCATATAATATTAGTGTAAAATTTGTGCTTATAATTTATTTAACTTAACCTCGAGTATATTTCTAATCAGCACTACCAACTAGAGTATCATCTACATATAACTATAATTACGCATTATTGAAAAGAAATATAGAAAGTTTTGTGTAATGAGTATGACTTATGTGGTTGCAGTCGCTGTTAAGTGACCCGAACCCGAATTCGCCTGCCAACTCCATGGCAGCACAACTGTACAAAGAGAACCGACGTGAATATGAGAAGCGAGTGAAGGCTTGCGTGGAGCAGAGTTTTACGGATTAGTCGCAGGCGTTTCCACAATGCTGTTGCAGCATCAATCAGCCACCTACAGCCATCAGATACAGTGGAGAACGTGCAGCCTTACCAAGAAGCTAACGCTAAATATATTAGCATGTTTCTTCCTAAAGCTCTATTGAACTACCACAATGTGCAACATTAGACCGAATTTTTACAATGTTGAATAATAAATTATTATAAAATTGTGTATTTATTTATTTCGATATTTGATAACAGATCGATTATTTCGATATTTGATTTGAAATTAGTAATGTTAAACACTAGAAGATAATTGATATTTGGCGTTTTCTGTTTCTATGCTACAAAACAGAGCCTTTCACAGGCACAGAGGTATATTTCGATTAAATTTCAATACTTCACATAGTACATAAATTCACTTTTATATATCTCTCTCTATATATATATTTTATATATATATAATATATAAAAATATATATATAGTATACTTATATATATATGTGTATGTGTGTGTGGGTGTGTGTGTGTGTACATCTATATACATACATCTGCTATTCTAACATCCATACAGGTATTGAAAACACTTAATAATTCTTACAAGCTTGTAATTTATATAATTAATATAATTTAATAAGCCTCAGACATATATTAACATTAAATATATTATGAATATTATATCTACTCTCATTAATTAACACGTTGTCATAAAAGATACATATTGCATGTTAAGTAAATTAGTGATATAACAGTAAGTATAAGGCTGTGACAAAATAGCTATTTGTCTTGACAATTAATTGAGTAGTATTAATTTTAAATTGTTTTTGTACATATTATGTTTACTTCTATAATATGAGATTGAGTTTCTGTACAAAATTTGCAAATATGGTTTGTATGGCAGTTACTAAATATTCAAGATAGTTAAAATAATTAAATGCTTATTTCATGGTTTTTATTTTGAAAATGGAATGTGCTTAATTTTCTTTTGGTTTATGAAAAAGAATATATCAATGTTTTCTAAGTTTATGTACTTGTATCTACCTTCGTTTCTTTTAATTTTCATATAAAAACTTAAAAAAGATTTGTAAGTTTTTGTCTTAACAGCGGTTGCAATTCAGCAAAGTCTGATTCATTAAATTTAAAAATTATTTGCATATAATATTAGTGTAAAATTTGTGCTTATAATTTATTTAACTTAACCTCGAGTATATTTCTAATCAGCACTACCAACTAGAGTATCATCTACATATAACTATAATTACGCATTATTGAAAAGAAATATAGAAAGTTTTGTGTAATGAGTATGACTTATGTGGTTGCAGTCGCTGTTAAGTGACCCGAACCCGAATTCGCCTGCCAACTCCATGGCAGCACAACTGTACAAAGAGAACCGACGTGAATATGAGAAGCGAGTGAAGGCTTGCGTGGAGCAGAGTTTTACGGATTAGTCGCAGGCGTTTCCACAATGCTGTTGCAGCATCAATCAGCCACCTACAGCCATCAGATACAGTGGAGAACGTGCAGCCTTACCAAGAAGCTAACGCTAAATATATTAGCATGTTTCTTCCTAAAGCTCTATTGAACTACCACAATGTGCAACATTAGACCGAATTTTTACAATGTTGAATAATAAATTATTATAAAATTGTGTATTTATTTATTTCGATATTTGATAACAGATCGATTATTTCGATATTTGATTTGAAATTAGTAATGTTAAACACTAGAAGATAATTGATATTTGGCGTTTTCTGTTTCTATGCTACAAAACAGAGCCTTTCACAGGCACAGAGGTATATTTCGATTAAATTTCAATACTTCACATAGTACATAAATTCACTTTTATATATCTCTCTCTATATATATATTTTATATATATATAATATATAAAAATATATATATAGTATACTTATATATATATGTGTATGTGTGTGTGGGTGTGTGTGTGTGTACATCTATATACATACATATATGTATGTATATATGTATATATACATACTATACGTAATAAATACATAATTTCACTTTATAGTTTTATGGTTTTCTTTAAATTTTTGTGCTGTTTATGTTTAGAATAAACTTATGTTATGTCATAACAAAGTCTATAAAATATTTGTTACAGTCCCTTTTGGATGAACCAAATCCAAATTCTCCAGCAAATTCATTAGCTGCACAATTATATCAAGAAAATAAACGGGAATATGAGAAGAGAGTAGCTACTGTTGTTGAACAGTCTTGGTTGAACTTCCAAGAAAGTCATATAGAAGATGCTCGCTGACATTAAGATTCATTCAATGTTTTCACAAGATTTATTTGATGTTCTTTTTTTTTTTATGTTTTAGAAATTCATGGCCTGAAATATTCTTTCTCATCTATTAAAACAAGACATTAAATACTCCACTGTTCTACAGATTTTTTTTATATATTCTAGTTAAGAGTGCTATCTAGTTTTATAATATAGAAATAAAAAGGTTTATTTAACATTATGTTTCAAACATGTAAAAAATGTAGAGCTGTGGAGTGATGTAAAATCGTATTATGTGATCTTTATCTATAAACATAAATAAAATGTGTATCATTTTGCTCATTATATTTGGGGTTTAGATACCCATACACAAAATTATAAAAATAAAAGATATACGTATAATTATCAATTTTGTGACATCAATTTACATTGTAACTAACAGCTATACATAAGTATAAAATCTGAATAAAATAATTTCAAAATTAATAAATTAAATTACTAATCTATCCTATGGAAACTGAAATTAGTTTTGTTTTAATTACAATTACAATGTATAAATAATATAGCACAGAGTTAAAACTAGTAATCAAATGGTAACTATTAATAGCAACTTGTAATTTCTTAATAAAGTTGGAATTCATTACAATATGTATTAATTAGTCTCCTTTTACAAATAGAAAAGAGGAAAGGGTAAAAAAAAAATTAAAACCGTTATCATAATAAAAATTGTTAAATTTAATAAAAACATTAAAATTGTTTTTATAAATACGTTCCATAAAAAAATCTTTTTTATAATTATGTAAAACATGTAAATTGTTTTTACAAAACAACATGCTTTACTGTATATTCGAATTTCGAATCAGCTATGAAAAATTATAGCTTATTAAATATATTGTACATCATGTATTAAAAAAGTTTTATGTTCTAAAAATACAATGTGTATATATACAAATTAAATTTTCATTAGTGAAGGAAATGATGTATAAAACGAAGTTACATGTATAACTGCTGCTTAGAGATTCTATAATCTTCATTTATACATATACATTTTATAAAATTTATCCAATCATAAGAATCTATAATTTTTACATAAATATACATTTTGCAAATAATTCAATAAAATTCTGTAAGTGCAACTTAATACATATTGAATTAATGGTAATTAACAATAAAATTGTATGCCATATAATATGAATTGATTAAGATAGATATTGATCTTAAGTTATTTTATTTATGATACAATTAATTTATATTACAAAAGTTACTTCCTCTTTTTTAATACTGCTATTGTAGTTCAAACGTGAATATATATTGTAGGTAATTACCATAAGTATATGGTATTTATATATTATTGCTCTAAGCATATAGAGGCCCACTAATTTCTCAGCTTTGAACAAATACAAATCAATTTTAAAACATATTTTACAGTAATCAAAGTATCTATTTTACTCTACTCATTTACTGTTGTCACAATATTTACAATAGCGAATATTATACAAATATAATTTATCTGCTACTGTAATTGATTATATGATAGTTCACACGCATATGTATACAACAATACATTTAATTACAGAGTAATTTCATTCATTTTTTTTTTATGAAACTACTATTACTTCTTTCATACATTGTTACAAGTCAATTTGTTTAATAAGTTTTTAAAAAGTACTTAATGTTATAAAAACTGTCTTAAAAACTGTCTTTAATTTGAATTAAGTCTTCCAAAGTGTTTAAATTGCTCACCAATATTTTCCTGCTACGACTTCTCTTCCTTTTCTTTATTATACCTTTCTAATTCTTTTAAGAATTGTGCTTTGGGTTTCATAACATTTGGTCTATCCCCTCTACATTTTGGACAGAACCATTTACCTTTTGGCTTGGTACTTAATGAAACACATGAAAAGTGAAACCACTCTATAGGACATAAATCATTATCACATAATATCATTTCTCCATATGATATTTGATCACAGAGACAATATGTTGGTTCATCTGGGTCTATTGCAAGATCATCCTCTGGTGGTGGTGGAGTATCTTCACGATGCTGATTTTGCTGATTACCTTGCCTAGATTTTCTTTTCTTTTTCTTTCCAGTGTTGGTGGTAGTTGTTTTCTTTTGATTGCCATTACTTGTATTTGACAAAGAATTAGAACGTGTCTCTGTCATTACAATCATGTCCATAGTATTAGAAGACTCAACCATTGTCTCTGTTCTTGTCCGTCTAGCTCTTTTTGGTTGCCTTTCTGAATTATTTGCATTACTGGAAGAATTAGAATTTATATTTGAATTTGTTTCACGCACTGATTCAGTACTTTCTTGTTCTTTTCCAAAATCTGTAAAGAATTAAGAACACACCAAATATTAAAAAATTAAAAAGTATTTACTTTTATGAAATATGCAAAATTAACATAAGAAAATCTATGATTACCAAGATTACGGAAATCTAAATCTAGCTGCCTAGATTTATTTTCAATAAGATCTTGAACTTGTTGAACTATTTGCAATTTTTCATCCCCTATTTCTTGTGCTGCAATCAAGGCTTGTTGAACTCTTAAAAGTGCTCTTCTCCTAACTGCCAGATCTGTATCATTTCGTAATGCTTCTTGTTGTTGATCAACTTCTCGTAAATATGCTAAGATAAAAGAAAAATTCAAATAAAATGTATCATAATCTTTCTATAAAAATATAAGAACATAAAAAATATATATGAAAACCAGATTCTTTCATAATTGTTTAAACAGTATAACATGATAAAATGCAAAATAATGGTTTCATATAGGAAATCAATGTTTACTTTATAAAAGAATGTGAATTTTTCATGCCACTTAGCTTTTTATTATTTCTATCACAACAGTTTTGGTACAGTTATATATTGTACCTTTTTAAACACTTAAGTACTTGCCAAGTTATAAAAGTTAGATGTTTGCAATGAAAATGTATCAAAATACACACGACAGAAACTTTTTAAAAATCGTTAATTTTAATTACTTTGACAAGTAGCATCAAGTTCCCGGAGCCGGGAAACGTGTCTCTGTAAATCATTTGGTAAGTTTTCCACACAGTCCAAATAATTTTCGATATATGTTGCAGAATATAAAGCTTCAACTACAGCTTGGTTTAACATCTTTTCTCTTTTACGAGTTACCCTCGACAGTTAAAAGATATAAAAACGACACATTTAATGACAAATTTTTAAATGTCACTGTATTAGATTTTCGAACTTGTCGCACCATTTATACAGATATATATTATTACCCAATTTATAATTACACCAATCAAGATCAATCAAATTGTACGAAATATAAGTAAACTGCTGCAAAACTTTTTTTGGATACTCCATCTGTATTTGTGACAAGAATCAAACATGGCTGCTGGTTTCTAAGTGAGTTCTACAAGTTTATCTTTTCAAACAAAACACAAATCAATTATAAATGTTAGCTATTTTATTTTAAAAAATTTGTATAAATATATTTCAATAATCAATATTACGTGAGATATGCTGTAAATGCAAATATAAAATGTTCAAGTAATAATTTACCATAAAAAATTGACAAGAATGGAATGTCAGGAATTTCAAGTTCATAAAATATCATCTTTGTGTAAAATGCAATTAAGGATTTTAATTGTTAATAATATTAGGAATTGTTTCTTTTTGTATATGTTTATTGTAAGCAGTGGTTACAATGTTTAGTGATAAAGCAAGTCCAAGTATCGTTAAAGTTACTATTAGCTTATTTCACGTTATGATAATAGTTCTTAATCATATTAATATTCATCGTACAGAGTAAGTCTTAAAACATTATTTTTTCTACTGCATCGAAACAAAGTATTCAATTGTTAATTGATTTTCTGTAAAAAAATTTGTAATTTAAACACTGATTTGACTAGCTATTCTGACGTCAAAATTTCTGGTACGACCTACCAATCCCGTGTTACAACCCTATTTGATTTCGTTCGTTAGAAGAAAGAGTCGTGTTTGGGTTCTCGTGTGCCGCAAAAACTGTGTGACGGTAGTTGTAAAAATATTCGTTTTTTCGTTTTCAAATTTTAGAAGATGACATCCACAGGAACTTTCCAAGGGTTTAGTGATGAGAAGAAGAAATCGAGCAAGTAAGTGACATGCTTGTATTTATGGTTTATTACCTGTGCAAATATTTCATAAGAGTCGTGTTGCCCTTCTGCCAACGATGTATCGTTTATTTATTTTAACTTGCAAAAGAAAGGAACTGAAACTTCTATAGTTAACAAATATTTTTACTATTAGTAATTATCGCCAAAAGCATCGATAAAAAATTTAAACATTTAACAGTTTGAATTTTATTATTTGGTAATTTTTTAATTATTTATATACTTTTACAGTTTATGTTTATAAAAGAAAAGTATATTTATTTGGTTAAATAGTAATAAAAATAAACGAACGGCGTCTTGTTGGTTACTGACTTTTTTGTTATGCATGGTGCGTCAGTTTGAACCGGTCATAACCGGACAATCCACGAACCTTTTTTGCACTGGTAATGTTTTGATAAATCGAAATCTCCGAAAATTAAAAACATTTATTTGTAATTTAATTACCGTAAATTCTTAGAAAAAATTTAATAAATAAATGTTGGTATTATCAAGAAAGCTAATACAATAAAAACTAACACAATAATACTACTACGTTATTTGTCATATCCAAATGTATTTAACATTACTTCAATTGGAACTATTCTACATTTTTTTAGTGTATTATTCTTAAAGATATATTTACAATTCTTGTCTTTAATATTAAAATTAATATTAGTTTAAAATGATTATAGTATTTAATGTTTTAATTATTTAAATATGTAAATTTTTTGCAAGAATAGGATTGTATGTAATTTCAATTCACTGTTTGTTAACTGTCTATAATCTAATCAATTAACTATCTATATGAGAATTTTTTTTTAATTGTTTATAAACGCAGTATAAAACACATACATACGCACAGTTTATCTGTTGCATCTGATAATTACGAAGTCGGTAATGTCTTAAATAAAACGTAGTCGTAGGTACAGGAATGTGGCAGTAGATTGCGCTCGCTGTATCATCCATGTTCAATTTTCAAAATTTCAATTCCAATATTCGATAAAATTCGTCTTTTTCTAAAGGGATGTTTATGTTAGTACTGGTTTATAAGGAATAATGAATTGAAGAAAAAATTTCAAATACATACAAATAAAAATTGAATACGGTTGATATGTTATCAATAATAACATCAATAAAGATAATCGATAATACTACCATTGCTATTTATGAAATTATCATTCCGAGCTTTAAAGATCAAGCACGATAATACCATATTTCATGTACGGAATTATAATATTTTTCCATTGTATAAGTATTTTATTATTTATATCATATTTTAATTTATTTCATATGTACATAAAGTGTAAACGCTATGATTAAGAAAGCAATGTTGCTTATATAATCTTTTCTTATTTTGTAAGGTCTTGGTAAGTGAGTTTGCCCTAGCAAGTATCATATTTCAAGTCTGGCATTTTCAAGAAAAAAAATTAGCGGTTTACCGCTGGTAACGGCTAAACATTGCAACGCATGTTTCTAATAAAAGGGTGCCTGATTTATCGACAGAGCTAAAAAATGCGTATAAGGGATAAAATATATAGCTGAATATTTTTGAATGAAAAGAGATCTTTTATATGTATGATGGTATCCGGTTGACTTTAATATGCACTCAAGAATTTCTACAATGCAAGACGTAGGTAGATTAAAATTACCGGATATCTATAATGATAATAACAGAAAATCACAGAAATTCAATTTATGTTTGGTTCGTACGTTTTAAGAGGATGAGTGCCTATTTTTCCAAAGCTGTTTTTTCCAAATGCAATTATTGCATGGGAAACGGTTGTGAATAGTGTCTTTCTATTGTCGCAAATATTTTCTCGGAATGTATGCGAATAATACACACACACTTCTGAAATACGAGTCACGCTGTTCCAGGCTGACTCACCCGGTGTCGCGTAGTTCGTAGCGTGCTGCATAGAGGCGTGTACATCTAGACTCAAAGCTTCATAATTGCACGGATACAATATTATGTGTCCTTTGTTCTATTTTCGTTTGTACCTGTTCTTTTTATACTTTAGTCACGTTCATTTTTATATGTTTTCTCGCTAATGTATACACGATATGGCGTGTATTAGGAAAAAGAATTCAGAGAATTGAAAATGTTAATTTAGGTTATCTAATTTCGTTAAATCGCTCTTTTAGTTCAGGTTTGTTTATGTTAAAAAGATATTTTTCTATATTATTTCACGATGTCAAATGAAAAAATGACTATAGGAAAGAAGATGCAAGCGTGATACAAGCGTGAAAGTATTAAATATTTAAAAATGGAATGGAAATCAATGATTCAGGTTAAGCGCATAGTCGTAAACAAGTGGCATCGAATTCAGTGTTTCCATTTACGGTCAAGCAACGTAAGGTATTCTCGTGACGAAGAAAATCCGTAAGGAGTGCGATTCAAAGGATAAATATAACCACTGTCGCTGGCTAGACCGAAGGAGTCGCCGAAGGGAGTTGTCTCTGTAGATTGCGTCCGTGACTGTGCTTAAGGACATGCCCCTCGATGCTGTCCGCGTAGTCTCGCAGGCGCTGAATAAAACCGGCTTAAGGCCTTGTGCACACGTGCACGAGGATCATTTCTCCCTACGCAAGTTTGCGCTGCGACGCCGTCGATCTCTCTACCGTCAGTGGATTTCACGATTGTGCAGAACACGGCACGCTTCCTTCCCTGCTTCTCGACTTTTTGGAGGTGGCGCCTCCTCGTGTAGCGTGCGTTAGTTTCCCTCCGCTTTTCTGCCTGTCGGTCTTTCTCCCTCGTGCGCGGTAGTGCATGCGTGTGACAAGGAAAGAAACGGAAGAGGAACCCAAGCCGCGGCGTGACCCAGCCTGATTGACCCACGTCGTAGACCCGCTCGTACGTGCATAACCGGTACGAATTGTCGCGTCGTGACATCGAGACTCGTGGACGTGTGATTTTCAAGTGAGAAGATAAAAGGAAAGTTTTTTCATCCGTGATCGAGGAAAAATGTGGGCTGGCCAAGACGACACGCAGCGTTTCAAAACCAGGTTTGTGCAACATGCGATTCTTCTCTTTACTGAATTTTCTTTTCGCGTTCTTCATCGCGATCACGTTCCAACGTGCAACCCTTTCCTTTTTTTACGTTTTGACAGGCCGTGTATAACCTCGAAATGCCTTTCTCTTCGAGCTTGCTCGATCGAGCGACAAGTTCGACGACCTCCCCACTATCGAACGATTGAAATTGCAGTTCTTACAGTTAAATACGATAAAGTCGTGTACCTGAATTAATGTGTTAAAATCAAACGTAAATTTAACGGCTGGCGCGTTACGTGTCCCCGCCTGTTGCTTTTCTCGCACGTATTCTCTGTTTTACCGATCGATTGCCCTTTGTGAAATTTCGTCTTATTTTCACGGTTATGTGTTCGTAGTGGACCAACGGTTCGTCGAAACTATTATTCAGAACATCTGCTTCGTTTCGTGTTCCGGGATACGGATACCTGCTTCTACGATTTCGATCGACATATGTTTCGAACGTTTCGAATAGAACGAACTCGAAATTTTGATCTTATTGTAACGATTAATCACATTTATCCAAATATGGTAGCCGTGTAATTTTTCTCGTTTAATACGAGAGAGGTCGTTGCAGACAGGATTTTCCGTTGATCAAATTTCGATGTTAATCGCTATCGGATTAACAGCTTCAAGGAGAACGGGAATTTCGTAGCCTACAGTCTAGTTTCTATTTCTGCGAGACAGTCGTGAGGAACAAGAACGTGGACGCACCGTTTCCAGACACGAAACAGTACAAAGGTTAATGCCAGTGTAACGAGAGCAACGAGTTACCGGGCAGACATACTTCCACCCCCTCCTGCTTTCTATATAAGCTCACGGAGTCACGCTATTCTCAAGTTAGGAATTTCAAATTTCACGGCCCGAAGGTTCAGGGCAACGGCTGCTTTGGGACACCCCTGTGCGGAAGAGGGAGAAGGATAGACTGCAATAGGGATTATAATATACACGTTGCGTAGTGTCCTAACCTTTCCACGAATCCGTGAATCAGT